GTCGGCAACTGATCTTCGGGGAGGGGCGCCCTCTCTCTTATACCTTCCTCTGACCACGCCCGCCCTGACCCGCGCAGTACGTCGCGTGGGGGAGGGGAGAGGGGGTGTTGGTCTGCATGACACTGTGTGGAGGACGCAGTGTGTGCGTGTGTGTGTGTTTGTAGGTGTGTTAGTGTGTGGGAGGATGTGTAAAGTGGTCTCGAGGAGAGTGCATCGGGGCGGCGGCCGCGACACGGGTCCTGATGGTTTCGCTTTCCTGTGCCAGGAAGCCTCCTCTGTCATTAAGCTTCGCCAAGCACTTTTTAATGGCGGCTTCCCCGCGGGCTGCCTGACGTCGGCCTCCTTCGCGGGCCTTCGGCAGTTGCACCACAGGGGAGCTCCAGGAAATAAAATCTGCTTTTCCAGATTTCTTCACGAAATACAGCCAGAATGCATTATTGATTGCAATATCAACGTTTAGACTTACGTTGTGCAACGCCAGGGGCCGAACCAAGGGCCGAGGCTTTGCACGGGCACTTTCTGGAGCGGACACTCGCGTCTCTGTTCGCCCGCTTTAATAACGGCGAAGCGGCGTGACAGGCAACATGCGCGCACGTGGTTACATGGATGTACACACACAGATACATACACACACACACACACACACACACACACACACACACACAACACACACACACACACACACACACACACACACACACACACACACACACACACACACACACACATACACAACACACGACACACACCACACCACACACACACACACACACACATACACACACACACACACAACACACACAAACATACATGATTGCCACACACTACACACACATATCACAACGCACACACATCATTATATATTATATATTATATATATATATATATATATCATATATATATATATTATTGTAATAGATTATAGACATATATACTATATAATATATATATATATATATATTATATAGTATATATATATATTAAATATATAATAGTACTGATTTGGTGGATGAATTATTTATATATTACATATATATATATATAGTATATATATATAGGTATATAGTATAACTATACTATATATATTTTATGATGCTAGGTTTCGGATAATACTATATATAGGTCATATACATCTGAAGACACCACACACACAGACACACACAGTGTCATTGTTATTGTGATTGCAACAGAGACATGCACATCACACACACACACACTGTACGTTTATTGTCACACACATCACACACACTATACATATATTTTTTGGTTTAATATTTATTTAGTGTTAGTATATATATATATTGATGTTTGTAATAGTATATATACTCTTTATATATAACTTATCATTATAGTATTATATTTATCTATTTTACTATATATTATATACTGGTATGTATAATGCACACACATTTCCACACACACTCATACTCAACACACACAATCAGACACATTGGATTTGCACACACACACACGATACAAGCAACACACAGCGGCGTCACAGACACCTCGTACTAGCATTGATAGATAGGCATATCTATAGCACTATATCCACACACATCACATTACACACATTATTCTACACTTACACACACACACACTAGCATACGCACACACTGACTTTTGATACACACTGTACGAGTCACACACAACACACACTCACTCAGCTAGTAACACATGGTGGTATCATACAAGCCAATTCCATCAGCATCACTCTACACAGCACGCTCGCGCGTCCACACACTCACACACACACACATCATATATATAATATACTATATAATTATTTTATAGTATATATATCACATATTATACATTTACATACATACCATTGTTCATTTACACACACATGCAACACACACACACACACATTCGTCAGTCACACATAAACGGCATACCAACTATTTGTATATTATATATATCTGTGGTGGATATACATTTATATTTATATTATAAGTATATAATATTATGAATAGTAATAATAAGTATTATTATATAATTAGTAATTAGAATCAGTAAAAGAATTTTAATTAATTCTGTAATAAACATATATATATTATATACATAGTCAGGATATAATATAATATATATATTGATATAGTTATATAATTATAATATATATATGCGCTTCAGTATGTATAATGTATTATATAATTATAAATATATATATAACGTATACTTAGTATATTGTATATGTATAATGATATACATATCATACTACATTCATACAGTAGCTACATAACATAATTACATATATACTGATATATATGATATATTATTATATATATATATAATATTATTATATGATTAGTAATATATTATATATGATATAATAGTATATATATATATATATATAAATAACACACACAATCACACAGAGAGAGAGAGCACATGAGAGAGAGAGAGAGAGAGAGAGAGAGAGGAGAGAGAGATGATGAGAGAGAGAGGAGGAGATGAGAGAGAGAGAGAATGAGAGAGAGGAGAGATGAGAGAGAGAGAAGAGAAGAGAAGAGAATGAGAGAGAGGAGAGAACATGAGAGAGATGAGAGAGAGAGAAGAGAAGAGAGAGAGAGAGAATGAGAGAGAGAGAGAAATGAGAGTGAGAGAATGAGAGAGAGAGAGAGAATGAGAGAGAGAGAGATGAGAGAGAGAGAATGAGAGAGAGAGAGAAGAGAGAAGAGAGAGAGGAGAGAGAATGAGAGAGAGAGAGAGAGAATGAGAGAGAGAGAGAGAGAGAATGAGAGAGAGAGCGAATGAGAGAGAAGAGAGAGAGAGAGAGAGAGATAGAGAGAGAGAGAGAGAAGAGAGAGAGAGAGAGAGAGAGAGAGAGAGAGAGAGAGAGAGAGAGAGAGAGAGAGAGAATGAGAGAGAGAGAGAGAGAGAGAGAGAGAGAGAGAGAGAGAGAGAAGAGAGAGAAGAGAGAAAGAGAGAGAGAGAGAGAGAGAGAGAGAGAGAGAAATGAGAGAGGAGAGAGATAAGAGAAGAGAGAGAGAGAGAGAGAGAATGAGAGAGATGAGAGAGAGAGAGAGAGAGAGAGAGAGAGAGAAGAGAGAGAGAAGAGAGAACGGGGGGGGGGGGCATTGCCAAGAGCCCCATTGAAAGTGAACGGACTCGAGCAAACATCTTGAGCAAAGCCCCTTTCCTGTCGCTCCGACCCCAACGGCAGCGGGGACAGCCAGTGGCGCGTAGACTTGACAATCGACCGAGAAACAGAATAGCGGAGTGGCGTTGAAAGGGCGTAAAATTGACAGGAAAATCAAATCCAGAAAAAGCATGACGACCAGACCGGATGACCAGAGGAAACTTTTCCTTCGGTCCGCTCGCCGAACACCTTGAACAAAGCTGGCGATAACGGGGCGGCCTTTTCCGTTCCTCATTAACGCGAAAACGTTGCAAAATCGCAATTAAGCGCGAGTTATTGCTGGAACGGCGCCGCCGCCCTGCACCCGCGCGAAGGGCCTCGCGCTCGAAGACATTGTTTGCGGCGCCGAGGAGGGAGGTCGCGGGCCTGCAAATGTCACGCTGTTTTGACATTGACTATTTTTTAGGCGTTTCCTACTAGCGTTTCAGTGTCACGTTTTTTTTTCGAATGTTATGGCCCATATTCCCATTAAAGAAAGAGCGAAGACCTTCACGATTCATCAAGAAGCCATTGCGAGCGGACGTGACTTCAGCGTCCACATCCGCTTTGGTCTTCGATGAGGAATGGAGTGTCGTTATCAGCTGCGATCAAAACGAGGCTCAGCCTCTGAACAACTCGTTTTATTGGACTGAGGATTCGATGGTATATATAAACGTAAGGAGATCGTGTTTTTGCGTGACCGATAATTGGGTTGTTGACTGTGCGACTGCCTTTAATTAAGTCTCGTTTAATGTCCAACAGCAATTATCTTCGCGGGTGAAATGTGGGGCGGGAGCGATCAGCCGGCGGCGAGGGGCACGTCGCTGCGTGACAGCTGCTGATTGGAGCGTCCTTCTCCCTTCTTATTCATTCATTCTTTGGCCACAATTCGCCTCCGCGATTCACACTCCATCCTTCATTCATAATTGGCTAATCGCTTGTTAGCACATCTCTGATCATCAGCTGACGTGACTTTCATTCAAATCAATTTGCCAGTGAAGGGTGACAGCCAAACCAATCGCGTAGACAGCCGCAACCAAGATGGATTATGCTTGCAACATTGCAAGCACAATCTGCCTGATTAGACCGAAGCCATGCTTGTGCATTCGGGGAAATCGCGGGCGCGGGCGGGCGTCCAAGGCCGGGCGGCGGCGCGCGTTTTCGCGTCGTGTCCCGGTCGGATCCTCGACTCAAATGGCAGTGACTCAGCGCTGCGCTCGTGTTAAAAGGCGCCGAGAAAAAACGACAGAATTATTTCCTTGCGTGATTTTTTTTCTTTTTTTTATATTGCTGTTTGATTCTCCAGATATAAGCAGACGCAAGTACAGCGGAAACACACAATAGATCCTGACGTCATCCTGAAGTCTGAATCACGATGATTTCCGTGAACATGATAATCTCACGTTCCTCAAACACCAGCGCTTCGTACATTGTGCTAATTCGCACAATGTACTGCAGATGAACACACTTCGCGCTGAACTTCTCTCTGAGGTCATCTGTTCGCTGATGAGGTCACTATCCTCATTTCGCTTATGTCTATAGTCAACAATGCTTTCTTTTCCTTCAGTAACCATTCATGCAAAATGTAGAATTGCGAGCAGATGTTGCCGTGCATTTCGGCCACGGGACGCGGGCGCGCTGATCGGCTCGAGGAAGCCGTTCGGTCGCCGTGGCAATCGATGCCGAAGGCGCCCCAGAGGTCTCCGTTGCAGTCGGACCGTCTCTGACGTTTGGATACTTGAGGCAAGAGTCAAAGGAGGCATCTGGGAAATGAACCAGATTGTATTTTGCGAAAGGCAAGCGTTTCAGGACTTTCATCCGCATGGAGGGAAAAAGATACACATCCATTCCGTCCCGCATGGGAATGCGCATGAGCGAAGTT